GACTTAGACTACGTGGGGTTTTCAAGAGAAGGCAGAATACATTTTAATTGTATTTTCTTCTTTATGTCTGATCAGAAGCATTTCCCAGCTAATTAAAATGGCTTTCCTCAAATAAAGAAATAGAGGTCTGTAGTTTTGAGCCTGGTTTGAATCCCAAAATACCTGATTTTCCAAAAATGTTTGTGATTAGTTTTAGACCGGTAGCAGTAATTCCATAGATCAATTATTTAAAATAAAATGTTTCAAAAGTATTATTTTAACAATATAATGAATGCAAATAAATAGTTTAATGGTGCATATATACAGTATTATTGTTTAGCCAAAACAAGGCCTGATCACATGCAACATAAATGCTACTCTTAATTTTCCTCTGGCTAATTAAACAAACTTATCTAAGTTTCCTAAATAAAATCAATAAAATAACTATGTTATTTACCACTTATTTTTCTTTTAGGATGTTGTTGGAAGGCTTTTTCAATCAGATGTGGCTGAAATTGCTCTGGTAAGATTTGCATGATATTTGTCAGATATAAAGTCATGCTACTGAAAAGTTGAATTGTCTTAACTGGAGTCCTCAATTATTTCTCTTCTAATCTGATTTAGAAAAACACACTAGATTCAGAAGTACCAAGAGTCAATATCATAGCGGATGAAGAATTTCTCCCTTTCAAAGAAAACACATTTAATCTTGTTGTCAGCAGTCTGAGGTACTTAACAATTGAATTAAAGCAGACAGAAACATTTATAATGAGAACAGTGATTTTTGTAATTGGGACCCTTGGGTTCCTGAGGTTGCAATTTTGTGTGTTAGTATAACATCTGTCAAGTGCCAGGAAAATCAAAAGATTTGGGCAGTTCAAATGAGTACAAAGATTCATTGCAAGCTTAAGCTCTCTACAAGAATCTGAACTACTAATGGTCAAAGCAATTTGGCGGTAGATAAGAGTAAATGGAATTCAAAGTAGGCTAGACTGAGATCTCTTGTGGGCGCCAAGGGACTCATGACTGAGGGTGCATTTAACCCCTCCCTTGGGCTCAGTCTGGTCATCATCTACAATATCTGGCCTGCTATAAGAACAAGCGTGGTAATTTATAATTGAGAGGCCAGAAGATTAATATAAAGAAAATGGGCTTTATTATGTGTACCCCTGCAGCCTTCCCAGAACACTGTTTTAGAAAATGTGGTGTGTTATCTGCAGTAAAAAAAATGAGGAACGTTTACCAGTCCTTGAATACTACCCTCTATATTACTAAGTAGTTAAGTTAAAGGGATGGTACCTGTTTTGAATTTGCACAATACACTGAAATGGAAATTTTGGGTGAAATGCATAGCAGAAAGGATGCCACGTGCATTTATGTTACTTAAGATTTTGGCACGTTGCGTAAATGCATCTCTGGTGTGCTGCATATATTTTTCTTGTGCCAATATGCCAGTCTGCCCTTGCCATCTAAAATTTACAGTGGTGAGAGAGTTTTGTGCCTTTTATTAACTTGCTTTCTATTGTAATTACTTTTTAGTTTGCATTGGGTCAATGATCTTCCCAAAGCATTGCATGAAGTAAGTACACCTGTTCCCTCCCTGTAAAGTATTGATATAGTGGTGACAATAACACTTCATCTTAACCATTGTTTTAGCATGCAGGTGGCAGCTCCCGACTGACCTTGCTTGGGCTCAGAAGCTAAGCTGGTTCAGGCCCAGTTCTGTGATGAGAGAGGGACAAGAAGACTGGGGACTAGACTGAGAGGTTGAAATGACATCCCAGAAGGTGGCAGTAATAAGCTACATCCTTGCAGTTGCCAAGGAAACTACATCAGTGTATTCCTAAAGCAGCAACAGATTTGTCAGAGCAAGCAAGCTAAACTCAGCAAGAATTGTGCATGGCTGATAGCTATGATATATTGAGTGTGAGTTGGCAAAGCAAAGAAAAAAGAAAAGGGGTGGAGTAAAGTAGCCTCCTTCAGGTTATTTCCAACAGAAACCATATTGTTGGAAGAGATACTGACCTGTAATATTATGTCTTGCATTCTATAAAGGCAGTCCTTGACTTGTGACTATAATTGGGACCAGAATTTCAGTCACCAAGCAAAGTAGTCGTTAAGCAAGCCATCATGTGATCAGATCTGATTTTACAAACATTTTCTTTACCATAATTGTTAAGCAAATCGCCATAGTTGTTAAGCGAATCACATGGTTGATAAGTGAATCAACTAGTCAATAAGCCAAATCCAGCTTCCCCAATTGACTTTGCTTGGTGTTGGATCCCGCTGGAAAGGTTGCAAATTGTGATTCCATGACCACAAGACTCTACAACCATCATAAATGCAAGCCGGTTGTCAAGCATCCAAATTGCAATCATATAACAGCTGTAGGATGACAGTGGTAACTTCAAGGACAGGTTGTAAGTCATTTTTTCCAAGATAGTCATCATTTTGAACAGTCAAACAAATAGTCATAAGTCAAGGACTACCTGCAAATTTAGTCTGTAGTTTACTCACCCGCTCGCAGTTAATAAAGTGGGTAAAGTTCAGTCCAGCTCAGGGCAGGATTCAGTAATCCATAGCCCATATGCAACCATAGTTACTCTATACAACCCAGATGGTCCACATTCTTTTCTTTGCTAGATGGGAAAATAAAGATTGCTGTTCTGATAGCTACTAGCAGCAGCAACAGCAGCAGAAGTGCAGTTTTCTTACCCCTTTCTTACTCTCCCATCCTATCTCAAGATTTGTGCTTTTTCCCTGTGGATTACAATATTGGAGCTTTAGTGGCTCAGTGGTTAGAATGCAGCATTGCAAGATGACTCTGCCCACTGCCAGGAGCTTGATCCTGACCAGCTCAGGGTTGACTCAGCCTTCTATCCTTCCGAGGTCAGTAAAATGAGAAGCCAGATCGTTGAGGGCAATATGCTGACTCTGTAAACTGCTCAGAGAATGCTGTAAAGCAGGAGTCCCTAAACCCCGGTCCATCGACCAGCACCGGTCCACGGCATGCCAGAAACCGGGCCACGCAAACAAGTGAAGCCCCATCCATGGGATGCAGGCAGTATGCAAAGTCAAGCCCCCTCCTGTCCGTGGAAAAACCTCTCCATGGAACCAGTCCCTGGTGTCCAAAAGGTTGGAGGCTGCTGTTGTAAAGCTCTGTGGAGCAGTATCTAAGTCTAAGTGCTATTGCTATTGGAAAATCTTGGCTAAAGTAAGATCACTGAATACATGAGAAAGTCTTTTCTCCCAGGGGTCCCATCCATATATTTATTCTTCCTCATTTGAAAGGGAGCCTGCTGTCTATTTTGGGGAATGCCTCTTTTTTGCATGCATATACATATGTGTGTATATTATTAGTGTATATCCCTGACCTGTAGCTATATCTACATATAATTTTCAGAGTCAAAAAGATTGCTCACTTCTGCATTAGAATATTGATCCAAATGTTTGGGGGCAAATCATTGCTGAATTTATTCCATGTTATACATTTCCTAACAATTGAGGTGTGTTACTTGGAAGTCCTACACCAAACTGGATGGCCCCTTCCAATTATATTAATTTCTGCAAATGCACTGGTTAAATATTTCTTGTATTACATGTCCAATGAGATTTTGTGGAATTTAAGAATGAAGTAGGTCTAAGTATTTGCATAGTGACTTTCATTGGCATGATGCATTACAATGAGATTGGTGGAGTTTACTTTGAAGTAAGACTTTAGCATCAAAATGTAGGTAAGGATATATTAGATAATGCCTGGTTTAATTATGATTTTAGGTACACCGAGTCCTTAAACCCGATGGAGTATTTATTGGTTCTATGTTTGGGGGAGATACACTCTTTGAACTTCGCTGCTCTTTGCAACTAGCAGAACTAGAAAGAGAAGGTGGATTTTCTCCACATGTGTCTCCTTTTACAGCAGTGAGTGACCTAGGACATCTGCTGGGAAGAGCTGGCTTCAACACACTGACAGTGGTAATTATCCATTACAAGGAAGAAACATTCCAGAAAAGCTACAACAGATGTTAATCATTATTGCTATCTTGTTTTGACTGAAAGAAATCTTTTAAGTTGTAATAAAGTACAGCTTAGGCCATGAGGTAAAGTAGTCATGGGAACCAGACTATGAACTGGAACCAATATACTTAACTTTTGCAGCTGATCTATAGAGACTTGGCCAAACCTGAACCTGCCCTCTCTGATAGGCGTCTCTATGGATCTAGATCTGAGGGAGAAGAGTTTTACTTGCTGAAGTCTCCTGGATTTTGGCAGAAGGACTTCAAAGTCTCAGATTGTCCAAGTTTCCTTATCCTGTTCATTTAATGTCCTCTTCTACAATCTTTCAGGGACATTCCAGTAGGATACTAGGATCAATGGTACCAAAAGAGATCAAGGAGGGTTGTGCTTCCCCAATTCCAGACATCACCAGACATGATAAATACAATTTCTAAAGATCTAAATAATCTGTTTCCTCTAAGGCTGTGCAGTGTAAAGGCACCTTTTTCTTCACAACATTTCCTAGAAAAGAAAGGTTGGGGATGGCTCTAAAGTCCAAAATCAGTTGGCTTGAATAAACGTTTATTAAGGCGATGGCACACTACTCTTTAAGAGGCGAGGGAAACAATCCTTCACTCAAGGAAGGGCTGATTACTGCTTCAATCCAGCTTCCCGCCATCTCACAGGAAACCTTAGCCAGCTATCAAGAACAGAGACCCACCTAAGAAGTGGTGGAACTGGCATTGCAGATGTTCTATCTGCTTCCTTGGAACTTAGAAGCTCATAATGATTCCAGACCACAAGAGGACATCCCTCAAATCAGTGTGTTAGTACAGGTGAAGCCTAGCTCCTCTTAAATCTAAGCAGTTTTAACGCTAAGTCTTCACAGCAACCCTTCAGATGCCAGTCTTGTCAAACATTCTTGAGAAAGGAGCAAGTTGCATTATGAGGGCTGCTGGATGACAGTTAGGATGGCAAAATATTTTGGTTTTGCTACTAAACATGAGCTTGTATCAGTGTCCAGTCAGACCTGAAGTGGGCCTTCCAGCTGTGTTCAGGTATCTTCTCAACCACTTCATGTCTCTCATCTCAGTAAACCAAGAAACTGCAGTGGATCTCCAGGCAGAGAGAGGTTGCCCCAGTGCAATCTAGTCCAGCCCCCTACATGCTCCATTATTCCAATGGGTGACCATAATCAAACTGCATACCAGACTCTTGGGAGATTCCCCAAATGCCCTCTGACCCATCTTTTCCCACTGTGGAGAAAGTGGGGCCACACTGTAAAATTCCATGGCACTCAGAGAATAATCTGACTGGTAAGGATGAGTGAGCCACCCTGTCCATTGTGTGGATTTGTTTTTAATTGTTTCCATCTGTGTTTTTTTTTTGTCATCCTTGCTGTCTTTACTCTGTACAGCTATTTTGTTTGTTTTTAAAACAAACAAAATGTTTTCATTGCAGTTGCCTAGAATTGTTGGGAATTGGGCAGCATATAAATTGAAATGATAATAAGAAAATATCCCCTATGAGAATTGGTGAAATTAAATCTCCTCCTCCCCCCTCCCATTTTCCAATTGGTTTGTGTCTGCCCACATCAGAAACTAGATCTAGTGTGTGACCTTTCATGTACATCAGGCTCTTAATAAGTTGGTCAGGCCTGTAGTTGTTTTTGTGGTTATGAACCCCTGGGCTGCTTCAGCTCCCTGGCAGAAGGAAGTTGGGTTGAAGTCCCCCAACTTTACTATCCCGGGGACTGAAAGAAAGCAGGGGAGGAGATGATTTTCAGTAACATATTTTAATAAGCCATAGCTTATCAAATGAACTATTTTGTCCAGGTTTACACAAAACACCAAATCCCAGTCTTTGATTTACAGTAGCCAATCAAACCATGATAAGGCTTAGTGTGGTATACAAGCCCAGTGTCTTTCTCCTAGCGATTGCCTCAAGTTTCTGTTTAACAAGCTTGCTGGACTACTATTCTTTTAATAACCTGGAGTAAAACCATCATTTGTTGGTGTTTGCTGTAGTTTTTTTTCTTATTGAAACAGATTATTCTTCTGTCAATGTGCAATGTTAGCATTTTATTGATAGATGCTTCTCCAGTTCAATAAAAAAAGTATTCTACGATATGCAGCGGTATGTAGGATGGAGAGAACATCATTAGCAATGTTCAGTTTGACCTCATTTATTTATTTCTGAGGTCCCATTTTTAGAATTAATGTGTTTTTTTCTGGTGATTATCAAAAATCTATTTACTATTTCCAGGATTCAGATGAAATCCAAGTTAACTATCCAGGAATGTTTGAAATTATGGCTGATCTACAAGGCAAGTTCCAGGTTTTTTTTTAAAAAAAATACTGAGCTATGAAGTAATTTGACTTCATTTGGAGAAACAAATTAGAGTTTATGGCTTTATTATTGAACTGTGAAGTATATTGATGAGAATAAATACACTCTTTCAGGAGAAATTAATGAAAAATATAGAAATATAGAAATAACATACATTTCAGGACTGCATAAAATAATTTACCCTTGCAGTCTGCTTTTTCATACCCTGTTAAGATTGATAGTATACAGTTCTGCATATTGTGTTTAACTTATTTATATTCAAACATTAAATCTTCTGTATGCTATGCTCACATTTTTAAAATGAGTGGTAAACCTATAGGCAGAATTTTGAAATTATAACAAAGAGGTTAATAGCAAAGTGCTCAAATTGGGAGAGGGGTATTATTTTTGGACATTCTTCAAGTTTGGGGAGTGAGAATTAGAGCAATTTATCTCTTAGAACCCATAGCTCCCATTCTCCATGCTCACCACCTTGTGGCACCATCTGGAGGGGGATGGCAAAGGAGAAAGGGGCAGGGGATCAAATGACAAAAGCATAATTGGGGCACAAGCCCTACTTCTTTTCTACAGGCATCACAGCATTGCATGTGTGCCCCCAAAAGCTGTACCCTGCTGTACCACACCATGCACTTTCCTTCCTCCAGAAACAGAGTTGAAAAAAAGCTGGTGTGTGTGTGTGTGTGTGTATACATACATACATACATACATACATACATACATACATACATACATACATACATACATACATATAATACAACATAGCTATCACTATACATCAAGTGAAGTAGCTTTTCATTTCTGCTTAGACTTGATTCACCAGTGTAATTTTGAATTAGACTGAATTCTAACATCTTTTCTTTCCTTAAATAGTTGAAGGAAATGCTTTGCGAGCTGGGTTGTAGTTGTTTTGATTAATCTGTACATTAAAGAGAAACATAGGTTGCAGTTTTAAGCACAATTAGCTGGAAATAAACTCCACTGAATTTAATGGAGTTTACCTCCCCGGTGACAGATAAACCACTGTTCTGTTGTAGAAGGAAGGTATATGTATATTTTGGAAGCTTTCTGCTGCAGGTGTACTGAAGACATTTTCACAGAAAATTGATTACTGGTAAACCATACCGGTATTAAGTCTACTTTTTATTTGTATAGGTCTTAGTTTTCACAGGGTTCACTAATCTTAATGTATATAAGTTTATAAGGAGATTTTTGGGCTACAGACTACTTACTGGGGCTGCATGTTAACCTCATTGTTGATGGATAAATTTGTCTTTGAGTAAGCAGAAATAAGATATTTGGTGTTATTTTAAAACATTTGTGCTCATCTAATCCTATTCACATTGCTGAAATATATTCAACTGATGGTGTGTGCTGTATCTTCTTTTAAAGCCTAAAACTGTTTTTAGGTATGGGAGAAAGTAATTGCTGTTGGAACAGGAAATCTATGATACACAGAGCAACTATGTTGGCAGCTGCAGCAGTGTATAAAGGTATGAACTTTTCATTAAATAACTCATCTTTATCACTTGAAGTTAGATTTCTGTCACTCTATATTTTCAAGCTTGTTCAGTCCACGCTATTTTCTGTCCCACCACCTTTTCTGTGATGCTTAAAAGTTCATGAAAAAGTTTGCTTTCAGTAATTGGGCAGCAATACGTGTAGTCCCTGAATTATGCTCACAGTTGGGGGATCATAATTTTGATCATGTGGTTTTTAAGCAAGTCATTACATGACTGGATATGATTTTACGGTCATTCTGATGTGGTTGTTATGGTCATTAAGCAAATCCAACTTCCCCAATTGATTTTGTTTGTCAGAAGTTGGCTGAGAAGATTGCAAATTGTGAACATGTAACCGCAAGCTGCTGCAATTGTTGTAAATGCAAGCCAGTTGTCATGTGCCCAAATTACAATCAATCATATGACCATGGGGTGGTGTAACAATCATAGCTTTGAGGAAAGGTTGTAATTCACTTTTTCTGAGGCTGTTGTAATTTCAAACCACCATTAAAAAAATAGTCACAAGTCAAGGACTACATGTAACTCAACATTTCACATTCTTCTACCATGTACAAATATGTAGCTTTGGATAATTTTCCTCAGTGAATAAATGAGCAAATATAATGTTTTTGACTCGTTTGTTTAATTGGGTTTTATTTATCAGTTTTAGGACTTGTGGGGCGAACAAATCAGGTTTTAGGTCACATTGAGGCAGAAGTATTGAAAACTCGAAAAGGTTCACAAATGTTTAATGTACCATTCCAGCACAGATATGTAATCCATGGGCCCTAAAATGGAAAGCTATAGTCAGTAAAGTTGCCATTCTTCATTGATTCTTCTCATGGACCGCCATTGTAAGGAGTTGTTATCACTACCCTACTACAGTGTTCACTACTACAGTGTTCAGCTCAAACGAGACAGAAAAGGGAGAGGAATTTATGTTAAGAGGGCTGGTGTGGTTCCAATGAGCCCCTGCATTCCCCCATGCTCTCTCTTGATGGTTCCTAATAGTTGATAAATTTGCTGGCACGGGAGTTGGACCAATACATTTGAAGCTGCCTTGAATTAGATACAGATCACTTATTTTATAATAGATTAGGTAGGTTTCTGCTGTATTTCTTGTTGCTGTGGTGAAATAAGTGCAAAATGTTTCCTTTTACAGAATTGTATGGAAATAATGATGGGACAATACCAGCGACATTTCAGATTTATTACATGATAGGATGGAAATTCCACGAATCACAGGTAATATTTACCTTCCCTGTAATATGTAGGGTGGCTAAATGAGAGTATGTATTAGAGTTTTTAGTTGATTTTTTTTAAATAAAACCATATTATCTTACTTAGTTCTTAATATTTAAAATTACAATGTCTTTCTCCTTTTCAGGCACAACCAGCCCAGAGAGGTTCTGCAACAGTGTCATTTGGAGATATGAGAAAAATAAATGAAGTTATTTCAGGCAAAAAAAAAACTTTGACATGAAATATAGTAATATAAATTGTACATAGCTTGTTGGAATATTTAGCAGTTACCATTTAACTCTGACAAACAAATGACATCATTTCCCCCAAAACTACTTCGGTGCCTAGAAAAAAAAGGGGGACTATCTATATTCCTGTTTATTATGTCAGTGACTGTATTTTTATATGTAAATTGTAATAGTAAAATTGCCAATTTGATCTGGGTACATCCAGAGAAATGATAAGTGTGTTTTTCTGTACGCATATATTACCTGCCGATATGAAAATATGAGAGGTCCAGCTATTCAGTCAAAAAATGAATGATAAAGAAGAAATTTGGATAGTTGTTCCTATGATTCCTGGGTACTACATGGAAGGTCTAATTCTGGCTGCTGCAATTCTTGCATCTTCTCTGAAATAATGTGCCCTCTGTTATCTAATGGGTTGTTTGATGAAAGGAAAGCTATGCAATTCCACTATGCCAGGCTACAAGCTTATAGGACTTAGATTCTTGGCCAGGATTCCAAGGCCCACCAATGAAGAGATGAGATGAAATGTAATGGTATACAGTATGCATATTCTAAGTATAAAGGAATAGTGGGCTTCTACTTGTATGGTTATCCCATAGGTAACTATTACAAGCCACAATGACATTATGTGCATTATGATTTCATTAGAGAAATGTATCTATTGCACAAAATTATATCTGTTAACTTGGGCCACTTGTGAAATAACTGTATGATGCACACATACGCATTTACCCACCTTGTCTCCCTGGTAACATTCATATGCCAGCCAAAATAATAAAGACCCAGATGTTTTCTTGGTTAAACCCATTTCTATATTTTCTTTCATTTTTTTCTTCAATTATCTAGAATAATAGATTTTTTTTATGCTGTATTAGACAGTTATGTCAGGCAACCATGCTGACTTGGAGCAAAATTATCCAAAGATCTACCGCTATCTCTTATTCTAGCTTTTGCACTTGTTAAAACTGTTGGGGGGGGGGGGGTTTCCAGTAAAAAAAATGTAAACTATAAAAATCTATAATATAATATAGACTTCAATGACTTTGCAGAGCTGCTACATTTAATTCCTCCTATATATGTGCATGTGTGCCTGTTGTGTACAAAATAAATGTGCTTGCACAGTTAATTGAACCATAGTTTACTGGAATTAACTCAACATGTGATCCACAAATACTCTAGTCACATTTTAGTCTATTATGTTGTGAGAATCCAGCGCAAGTCGGGAAGCATAATTTGGAAGAGCGAATTAATTGATCTATATACTATCAAAGTTCTTGTGTCTGTAACCTTTAACTGGGAAAACTGCTCTGTAGGGCAACAATTTTTGAATAAAGGTACCTCAAACAGTTTATCTTACAGAATGTGTCCAAAATCTGAAACATGACAGCCATGGAATTGAAATTTGGCAAATTTTATAAAACACTTTATGTTTTATAACATATAAATCTTTATAAAACATTTGTGTGACATACTACAGTATAATGCAATACAGAATATTTTAAAACATACCCTGTGGTCAACTCCTTATGTTTATGTTACATGGTTCAACATGGGCTATTTTCAAGTGTAGATACAGTTTTAATTATCTCCCTAAATTTTCCAGTGAAAGTAGTACATTAGAAGTTCTGCCATTGTTACAGGCATTGAGGAATCTGGGAAGAAAATATCAGTGACCCAGTGACAATGACCCAGTGGGTTACGTGTGGTCTAATATGCCTTAAAAAGGAGGTCCATTTCACTTTTAAGGTACATGGCAAAGTTGTGATTGACCAGGCTTATTCATGCTTCCTGATCTATAATCCATCTTCTTTGTCTCCTTGTTCCAAGCTCAGTAGCATAACTGGCATTCTGCATCATTAAGTTAAATACAATTGTTAGGCTTTATAAAATACACTAAGCCATACAGCATAACTAGAAATTACCAGGGCTGGATTCACACAATGTACTAAATTTCAAATAAGCAACACTAATTTTGAGTACAGATGTGCAAAACGTTTTGAATTTGAAAAGAAGTGATCCATCTGTATTCTTGGCTTGCTAGTCTTGATAGATCAGATCCATCACCAGAACCCTTCTAATAAGTTTAGAACAGGGAATTTGAAGCTTGAATTGTTTAGATTGTTTATACACCTATATTAGTTGAGCATTATTGTGTGAATATGGAAGCCCTAAACAGGTAGTTAACGATACTCAGGACAAGTATATGCAGTTGCATGTAACCATCTTGATGTGTGATCAGTTCATTCAGAGTTCAAAAATACTACAATTTATGTATTTTGAACAGCTGAAGAACTGCTATACTGTCCTTTCCAGCAATCTCTTAAGTATTTAGCTCTACCATACATCAGTTTCCCCATATCATTATGTGCTTATATCTTCTCCACACTGGAAGAAAAATTCATTTAGAATAAGCGTCTAAACATGTAAATGGTTGAAGCAAAATCCATTTGAGCATTTAGATGTCCTAATATTTGATCTTTTTACATTTTCAAAACTATACTTCAGTACTCCTATTGCCCCATCCTATTATGGTTACATTCTCTTGTCCTTAATTTCAGTCTCTTGACCTGGTGTTCATCAAAGAGCTAAGGATTATGAACTAATTGAACTGATAATTATCTATGGAAGACTCTTGACTTATATTAGCAAAAAGAAATTAAATGCAAGAATTATCCTTAGAAGGACATAGTTGCTTAGATTGATCGGTTAAAATACAATACTGTATCCTTTCATTCACCTTTTGTACAGCTGAGCACAGGAGATGTGGATTCTTCTTCTGTCCTTTAATTAAACAGACTGGCCCAAATGTCTGGGGCCTGGTTTACATAATACTAAAACAATTAACATTGCTCTCACATGCATTAAATAAACAAAGCTGTTTGGGCGTTCTGCATGTCAGGGAGATGACAGAGTTTAGGGCAGTGGTTCTCAACCTTTTTAATGCCGCGACCCCAACCGGTCGTAAGTCGAGGACTAAACCGGTCGTGACTACCCAACTGGTCGTAAGTCGAGGACTTTCCCTGCCCAGGAGCGCCGCGCATGCGTGGTTCCGCCCCCTGCGCCGTCCGAGGCGTAGCTGGCAAGCGGCAGAGACGGAGCAGGCCGACCACCAGCTGGCCCAGCCCAAGGGAGGTAAGGCACTTGCCAGAAAAGGGAAAAATGGACAAAAAAGATGGCGGACAGCCTTGCTTGGCGACCCCCATGAAATGGTCAATATACCCCAAATGGGGTCCCGACCCACAGGTTGAGAACCACTGGTTTAGGGGGAATGGATTCTTAGTTTTTGGCTGTGAGAATTACATTGTAGTGGGAATGCTTAGCTCCCCTATCAAAGTTTTGTTTTCCTTGTAAACAGCATAAGCATGTTTATTTCCTCATGAGCCATTTCAAGATATCAGCCTGAATGTCAGGGTGATGTAAAGATGGCGTATGAAGGGAGCTGCTAAAAGGAAGAATGACATCAAGACAGACACACCCTCGAGCCAATGGGAGTTATTTGTGTATGTTGGAGCTTGCAAGTTTCCTTTTTGTTTTTCCTTTATTTTCGCCAACTATTGCTACTTGCCCAGTTCTTGAGAAAGGAAGAAATCACATAAGCATTGCCAGTACTTTTTTTTTTTCTAATGCCAGGTCTAATAAAATATCAGGCACTTCCTGGAGAAAATGAGTAGAATCGCTATATTCCTTGAATATTGTAGTGAGTACTTAGCCTGTGGCTATGTGCTATAAGAACCACTCATCATAAGATCTGATTTGAGTTAGGGATTGACTGGATTAAGGATGTAATGAAAGAAAAATCATTCCATTAGTGTGAAATAATGCAGAACCAGCCTTGGGAAAGGGAAGGAATGAAAGGAACAATGAACCACTGAGGGAGAAAAAAGTCAACTCAGTCCGGAGAAACTCAAAAGCACAAGAAAGACATTAATTTTGTTCAGTATCTATGGGGTAGAGAGAAAGTTTTGTGACCTTTCAATTTTCTGTTATTCTATTCTACAATAATAAAAACCATAACCTGGAATCTCTGTTTCTTTTTTTGCTTGACCTTGCCTGCTAAGGGTTGACAATCAGTATATAATTATGTATATAATTAGACAACAGCTCCACCATTCTTGGCATATCTCAAAGAATAATCTGGACATTTGATCTATCAAGACAGGTAAATAGGACCATGAACATTTATGCACATGGCTTCATTTATTTGTATAAATGTAGAATCCATAACAAATATTAGAATCTGAAACAGGACAAAATAGGAGGATACATTCCATGGATCCATTTCATGAATTCATCCTAGTTTTAGTACCTATTCTCAGATCTGCCTTTTGACTGGAGCATCTTTCATCTGAGTTGACCTTTGTTTTCCACCATATAGTAGATTATCAATATCAGATTAAACTTGAATAGTTTTTGGTCTTGCCTAAGGATTTCAGTCATTGATACAAAATGTTCAGGCTACTTGTTGAAAAAACAAAAAGAAAGAAGTCAGTTTATCTCTCTTGGTACTCTGAGGCATAAGCTGTTCACTTTTGCAACTTTTCAGAAATGGTAGATTTCTTCTTTGACACTACAAAACTGTCTCCACATAATTTCAAATGGATTTTTTTTTCAGCTACTAGACAAGTTGTTCACCTATGTTTTATATTTGGTTTAATTAACTCAATTGCCAGGGATTGCACAATGTACCGTACTGCAAACTAGATGATCTCGTTTTAACCTAAAATGTGTGGAACTGAGCCCATGGAAGAAAATCTAGGAAGATAGAATCTGTATCTGATGACTGGGACAATGTACCTGACTGGTATAGTCAGGATGATGAGATCTGTTTAGTGCTGGCTCAGCATGATGATGAATCCTGTCAACAGTTCATATCATCTGGTCTAGTTGACCCAGTTTTGGATTAGCAGCAACGCTCCAGGAATTCAGCAAGAATATTTTCTTTCCTACTTAGTGGATTAAATCTTACTGTTGAATTTCAGGACCAGAGTACTTT